GTTTGGGAGGGTTGAGAGTGTTGGGGGTGTTGGGGTGTTGAGGTTCAATGTTGAGAATTTGGTCGCTCGAACAACGCAAGTTTCCCACCACACGCTATCGACCCATCACAGGCACTCAAGTAAGCACGCACGCACACACGTGCACACGCATGGAGCTCACAAAAAACACACAACACCCACGGAATCACCCCCTGGATTACACACCCCCAGTCCCTGCCCCCCACCTGGTTGCGGTGCTGGTCAAGCTTCAGGTTCACCAGGTCCTCCGTGTCCTCGATGTACTCGTTCAGGGTCTATAGGATTGTGGCCACAGCAACGGCAGTGAGTGGGTTGTGTATGAGAGAGGGGGGGGGTATCCTCAATGTACTCGTTCAGGGTCTGGGGGGTTGATGGTCACCGCATGGCAGTGAGGGGGGTTGTGCACGAGTGAGGGGTTGGAAGATGGGGGGGATGCCCAGGGCTCAGGCAGGTGCGGGGCCGGGTTGCTGGGATGTGGCGAGCGCGGGTCTCGGGAGTTGGAAGGGATTTGGGACACATGCGGCCTGGCATCAGCGTCTGCCACCGCCAATGGGTAGGCGTGCACGCATGCGTGCAAACGCGTGCGCGTACACACACACACACACACGCACAACAAGCACAAACACACACACACGAACCTGCAGCCTGTTGTACGTGTTGTCCACAGTCATAAAATACGCCTCCAACAACATCTCAACCTCAGCCACCTCCTCCTCTACTGCGCTGCTGCTCCCGCTGCTGCTGCTGCTGCTGCTGCTAGAAGAAGACGACGAAGACGACCGGTCGCCGAGGCCGCCGCCCCGGCTGCGGCGGCCGAGGGACTGGCGGGCGAGGGACTGGCGCGCGAGCGGCCCGCGGCCGAGCGACGCGCCGCGCGCGAGGGCGCCGCCGGGCGTGCCCGCGGCGGCGCTGCTGCTGCTGCGCCTCGCGGCCTGCTGGAGGGCGTGGGGATGCGTGAGTCGCCCGCGGCTCGCTCTTCTCTTACCCGCCGACAAAACAGCAGCAAGCCTGCAGACGCACGCCCAAGCCGCTGCGAGAGGCGCAGCCGCCCTCAGCACCGCCAGGCTTGTCGCATCATGCCCACCGTCCCGTTGCTTGCCCCGCACCGGCCCTCCGCTCCACCGTGCCACCCCAAACGCCCCCGTGACGCCAGCTTCCCGCCGGCTTCCCCCCAGCTTCCCGCCAGCTTCTCGCCCCAAGCGCTCACCGCGGCCTCCGCGGCCTGCTGCGCGGCGTGCAGCTCTTTGGCTGTGAGGTTCATGTCGTGCATGTCGTTGTCATCATCTAGGTAGCCCTCCAGCACCTCCCTTATCTTGGGGGGGGGGGGGGTTGCGTGGCGGTTGTTAGCGGTTGGTCACAGTTGCTGTCAGTTGGTTGCGGTCGTTTGCGGTCGGCGGCGATTGGTAGGGAGGGGGGGTCCGTTGTTGGTTTCTTTTGGGGGAAGGATCGTGTGGGGGAAGGATCGTGTGAGGCACACACACACACTCACACTCACACACACACACACACACAAACGCACGCAAACGCATAGACACACCAACACACACACACACACACACACACGCATGCGTGCGCGTGCCCCGCACCGTCTCCACCCGCGTCGACAGCCGCACAAGGCGCCCCTTGATGCGCCGCACGCGCTCCAGGTTGTGCGCCGTGACGCGGCCCGTGAGCGCGTCGAGCGCCGGGTACGCGGCAGCTTCCAGGTCTGACGCCAGGCGGTTCAGGTAAGACGTGATCTGGCAGGGTTAACAGGTGACGCATGGCGGGGGGTCCTGGGATCACTGATATGATGAAAGCCAAGCTCAACGTCTTGCAGTATCCAAATCATTGAGTTTCAAGGATGAGATGCCAGAGGACGAGGCTCGATCTGAGGCTCAAGAGCAGGGGAGGGTCTGCTTCGCGGGGCTGGCAGAATGGGTGCATGCGCGGGGCGGGCCATCGAGTTCGGACGCCAGCTGGCGGGAGTGCGCGAGGGAGGGCGGACGCACAACGGCAGCCAGCAGCGGCTGCATCCCTGGCGCCCCCCCCCCCCCAAAAGGCAAAGCGTCACAACCCCAGCAGCCGAAAATATGTGGCGCGCCCTCCCATGCCCAAACAGCCACCCACCGAGTCCAGGCAGACTTCCAGAGACTTCAGCTCAAACGGCATCTGCAGCCCGGCCAGATTCTCCAGCTTCGCCAGGCTGACCGCGCTCTTCCCGCCCCCCAGCCCCTCCCCGACGCCGTTCGCGCCGCCGAGGCC